AATGGTAATGTTGCAACCTTTGAATAAGTAATATTGTCAATACATTTTAATAAAATTTTAATATTTCATAAATTGATCATATTCCAGTAAATACATTTAATTTTTTTCCTATTATTTTTTTAATAATCACCATAAAGACTATAAATTGATGGAAGGTGCAAAAATTTTTAATTCGTTTTAGTTGCACTCAAATATAATGGCTAAGATTTCATTCATATATAAAATTTAAAGGTTAATTAATTAGCAATTGGTAGAATAAAAATATATTTAACTTCCATGTATCACATCAAATGATGACGCGATATAATAATATTTTTCTAAAATTTTTGTGTGTGTGTGTGTGTGTCCATTAATTTAGTGCAATTGAGCATATTCCTACCCGATAGAAACCCATGTTATTGTGCACCAGATATTTAAAAATTAAAATTTGTCGCATCCCATCACTATATAATCCTCTCTATATCCTCTCTATATATCATTGCAGAATATGTTGAGTCTAAATGACACATTATCATGCTTCGTAATCTTATATAGCAAAAATTTGTGCTTCGGAGTCAGGCTTGGTCATAATCTAATATTTTTTATAGAAAAATAATTAGGCTTGAATTCCATTTAATGTTTATATTTTTCATATTAAATCCATATTGATATCTTACTTATTTTCTTCTACAAATTACCATAAATCTTTTATGTTTCCATTTAATGTTTAATTCATACATCAATTATTATAAAATGTTTCTTCTTCTTATTTTTAAAATTTTATATTTTTTTTGCTTGTATTTATTTTGCATATATTATATATCAAATTATTTATCTTTAACGATCTTCGTTCTGACATCCATATTATATATATAATACAAATAATGATATATATGTAAAAATAAAATTTAAGTTTATTTATCAAACTGAATTAAAACTATCGAATAAAAGTATAAATTATCTTATAAAGTAATAGAAATTTACGTGTATTAATATACCAAAATTTTTATTTTACTTGGAAAATATGTAAAGTAAGTAAGAACATCAAATTGATGTAAAATAATATACTAAAAGTTTATGTCTCAACTTAATTAAAGAATACATAGCGAATGTACATTAATATAACTAGTGAGAATCTCGTGCGATGCACGGAGTACGTAATTTAAAATATTTTTTTTCAAAACTTTATTTTAACAATATATTAGCCCGTTGACTTGTTTATATTAATATAAATAATATTTTAATATATATATATATATTTATTTTTTAATACAAAAAAGTAACAATATTGCATACTGTGGTTCTTCATAATACTCAAATATTATTTTATTCAAAAATTTATTGTCGTATAATATTATTGTTTATAACACTTATAGAAGTAATTTTATTTTTTATCTAATAAGAAATATTTATATTAATATTATTTATTGATGTAATTAATTTAAAATTATATAAGCAAATTTAATGTTTATTAGGAATATGATTATATAGAAGGTAAGATAAAATGGAATTAATAAACCTTAATTGAATAAACCCACCATTTAAGGGAGCATTTAATGCTGCTTGATTTTATGGTAAATAAAATTCAAATAATTTCCTAAAGTGACATGCATTAATTTTGGCGTATTTTTTTGTTACTATTTTTGGTAAATAAGTTTTCTTTTTATATATATAGAGATTAGAATAGTGATGATAATTTTACATTTCATAAATTTTAATCTCATACACATTATATTTAATAATATTGATTACTATAAAGTTGAAGTTATTTTAAAAACTATTAGATTGGGGAAGAAATAATACTTCATAAAAATACTTTTTAGAATTCAAAATAATAAATTATTTTTTTTTTAATAATGATTTATATTTGTTTACTTCAAAGTAAGAATTTCAATTCATTTTTTTTTCAATTTTTGTTGGATAATTAGTTTTTTTATAAAACATCCGTGTAGTTCACAGACATTGTACTAGTATATCTAATATAATTGGTGCCCATAAATTAATTGAAGTATATGCTCATCTGATTTATGGTGCATCAAAATTGTAATATGTGCCCATCAGCTCAAGATTAGACATTTTGTTCTCCACTTTAGACCAAAATTACCAAATTTGTGCACATATATGTAGTAAACAATTGAATTATAGTGTCGATTGTGAAATATGCGTCATTAGACAATGTTGACTTTGGTGTCTAGTGATTAATGTATAATAATAATATGCAACATAGGATTTGTTAGGTCACTCAACATCATAATTGGTGTATACAATAACGTGTTAGGAAAAATTCGTAAATGCCCCTATGAACAGTTACTTAGTTAACATTTTAGCCTTGAATTTTATACTCACACGAATGTATGTATATCATAAATATTGTATGTAGATCAAGGGTTAAAAGTGTCAGAAATTTCCATATTATAAGGGAATATCGAACGCTTCATATTATAGATGCTTTTATATGACAATATTCAGTATGCAAATGTCATATATATATTCACCACATATCAAATCGATTACTTTTTATTGATGTCAGGTTACCAATGATTCTGGTGAATAAGGGCCTCTCAAATTGATTATTGATAAAATAATAAAATATGATCACTAACTTTATTTGTTTTTTTGTAACATCCTCCATATATATAATTCCCGAATGCGCTGAGCCTACGTGTTTGTTTCTGGTGCTTCGGAATTCTACTTGGCGAAGAATCATGCTTCGTAATTAGGTTTGGACAAATAATATTGATATATTAATAATTAATAATTTAGGTTCGGACATTCCATAAATATTATTTAGCTGACTTAGGTACTTTAATATCACTTTTATTAATATAACCCTTTAATTATTTGTAATTTTATATAGTGAGACACTAAGTGACTAATATATTCTTGACTTTTGATTTGTCTCCTTCAATTAGCTATTGAATTGTAAATTTATTTTAAAAGTTGATAACTTTTGTATTTCATAACGGTTTTACATATATGATATATCAAATTAATCATCTTTTGATGATCTTCGATTTGACATCCATATTGTATATATGAAATAAATAAATTATATTTATCTTTATATAATAAAAAATAATAATATTTATTAAAATCATTAGAAAATAAAATTATTTATCAATTTATATATTTATGTTTCATGGAATTACTAGTACAACACCCGTGTATTACACGGGTGCTTGTTAATTTCTTTCTTAAAATCTAAAATTAATGAGAAAAAGTAGTTTGAAAATTTAAATACAGTTTATAAGATTATATATATTATTATATATTTATTATGACACTTTTTATTTGTGCAACTTACTTGTGTTATATTATACTAATTTTTTTAACTTACAATATATAACTACATTACATATAAATATATCAATTGAGAAATAATTTTATTTTTTTAATGAGTTTTAATAAATATTATTATTTTTTATTATTATAAAGATAAATATAATTTATTTATTTCATATATACAATATGGATGTCAAATCGAGGATCATCAAAAGATGATTAATTTGATATATTATATATGTAAAACCGATAAGAAATACAAAAGTTATCAACTTTTAAAATACATTTACAATTCAATAGCTTATTGGAGGAAACAAATCAAAATTTAGAGATATATTAGTCATTTAGTGCCTCACTATGTAAAATTACAAAAAATTAAAGGGTTATATAAGTAAAAGTGATATTAAAATACCTAAGTTAGCTAAATAATATTTATGGAATACCCGAACCTAGATTATTAATTATTAATATATCAATATTATTTATCCAAACCTAATTACGAAGCATGATTCTTCGCCAAATAGGATTCTGAAGCACCAGAAGCAGCCACGTAGGCTCAACGTATTCAGGAATTATATATAGGGAGGATATGTTGTAAGTTAAAAAAATTATTATAATATAACACAGGTAAGTCGCACAAATAAAAAAGTGTCATAATATATATATATATATATTTATAAAAGATATTGAAATTTTTAATTATTTTTTCTCATTAATTTTATATCTTAAGTAAAAATTAGCAAGCACCCATGTAATACACGGGCGTTGTACTAGTAAATTATAATTACAAAGTGCACAACCTAACTTATCTTTTTTTTTTTGGTACAGGGACCTTCCGGTTTTTGGATCCACAAGGGAACCGATTAATCCGGAATCGAGCCGAGTAAGACCACAAGGGCGGCAAAGCTCCCCCTCAAGAGTTTTTAACACTACTGCATTCCCATGACTCGAACACGAGACCACTGGTTAAGCTGGAAGAGACCCAAACCATCTAATCCAAGCGCTCTTAGATTAAGTTATTATAAACTAAGAATAATGATGCACTTAAAAAAAATTTATCTATCAATATTAGTTTGTTACTAATCAATCAATTGTCCTTGATTAATTCTATTTACACTTCTGCCAATAACATGATTCCATACAAATAAACAAGATCTAAAAGTATCAGAGACGAAACCAGAAAATTAGTTGAAAGGGGGCAAAAGACATGATATAATGAGTTCAGAATCGATACCGAACGGATAACATTACGATAACCGGTTTTCGATTACCGTTACACATAAGTCGGTTCGGTTTGGTTTATTTTCTCATCGGTTCGGTTCGATTCGATTTTCGATTTTCGGTCCAAAAATATTAACTCTAGCCTGGGCAGTAAAAGAGAACTGAAGTCTTTTATATGAGCCAATTAAAATTGTAGAAGGATAATAATTATTATACAAAATTAATAGTAAAATAAAAGAAGTGTTGAATTGTTAATTGACAATTGTTGACAAGTTGGCATAGTGAGTGGGGTTTAAAAAAAAAAGTCAAGATGTGCAAAAATAAATTTAAAAGGGGAAACAAATTAAAATTTGTAATATTAATAGTAAAAAGAATTAAAATTTGAGTGTGAGGAGAATACATCACATCACACTTCCCACTATAAATGTCAGTGTTTAAAAAAAATGGTGTCACATTATTTATCAGATCTAAACACAAATGCACATATTTAATCTCTAAAAAAAAAAAAAAAAAAAAAAATGAATTGGAGAAGGTGCAAGCCCATTATAGTAATGGTAGCAGCTGAGTTTGGGCTAGCCCTTGTTCAGATATTCTTGAAGAAGGCCCTTAATCGGGGATTGGACCACTTGGTTATTGTAGTATACAGACAGTCCATCTGCACCATTTTCATGATCCCATTTGTCTTTTTCTTGGAAAGGTGTGATGTAATTAATAATATGAAATTATTAGCTAAGTTTATATTATTCTATGTTTATTAGCAAGATCTTTGGGATAATTAATGATCAAGTGCATTGCAGGAGTAGCTGGACTAAGCTGACAGCCAGCTTGATTGGCCTGATGTTCCTCTGTGCTCTGCTTGGGTACTATATATATAGCATAATGTCCAACTCATGTGTGGTTTGATTTCTTGATTGTTCACTTAGAATTTGATATATATATATATACTTTGTTGAATGCTTTTGCAGGTTGACACTTGCACAATATCTGTTCTTGCTTGGGCTTGACTACACATCAGCTACATTCACTTGTGCTTTCATAAACATGATTCCGGTTTTCACTTTTGTCCTCGCATGGCCTCTCGGGTGCGTACCCAAATTCTTGTATCAGTCATCGGCCTAACAGTTAGACACTTCGTTCATACTAATTTCACAAAATCCCTACTTTATGGTATGGACTATCATATTTTTGTTTTGTTTGTTGTTCATATGTACGTTATGGAATATCGTACTTTTTAGAATAAAAATTAATATGCATATGATCTATTGAAAAGTATCTAACCGTTAAAGTCGACTAATTAGAGGTGTGAATGAGTCAGGTCGAGCTCGAACTTGACTCATATATCAATATATAACGAGCTGATTTTAAGTTTTAAAGGGGTCGATCTCGAGTTTTTAACTAGCTGAGATATAAAAATGACATAAAATTTTCTATTTTCGAACCTTAATGATAAGTTATAAACGAGCTCATACTAATAAACGAGTCGATCCGAGCCGTCTGTCTAACAACCAACAACTTTACCGGAATAATAATTATATACACAAAAAGCAAATAAAATAAAAGAATAAAAATGATTCAAACTTTTATGGTCTTCCTTTGTGTTTGCTTTCAAGTTTTAAGATACAAAACATGTTTTGTTCTATTCTCAAAATCCCACAGGATGGAGAAAGTCAACATGAAGAGCAATAGCGGCAAGGCCAAGGTATTCGGCACGCTGACTTGTGCCCTGGGGGCCTTAATGCTCCCGCTTTACAAAGGGGCTTTACTGATAGGTCAGGCCCATTTCGTCCCTAGCCAAGAAAGGCCCAATAGAATTGGGCTGGGCTCAGCGATTTTATCCTTGGCCAGCCTAGTCTCGTCGTCGTGGTATCTTGCACAGTCCAGGATTGGACACAAATTTCCTTACCAATATTCTAGTACGACAATCATGTCTCTTTTCAGTGCCATTCAAGCAGCTATAATGGGCGTGTTCATCACGCGCGGAGGCACTTCTAAGTGGATTCTCAAGGGAGGATTAGAGATTCTAATTGTCGTATACTCTGTGAGTGTGTTAATTAATTACTTTTTAATTTGTATAGCCTTATTAGAAATTTAGAATTTCATTAATTAATCATTATTATTATTGTTACTATAATTATTTGTTAGAATATCACTTGTGAGTTGTCGCACATTGTTAATACATGAAAAATAGGCTCACCTTATAAGTCTAGTGGGCCTCTCCTCCTTTCACCAATTGGTTTTGGAATGGAACCCCACTTGGGCTTCACATGGGCTTTCCATTTTTCCCAGTTTCTTACATGGTATCAGAGTCCACTTTGTGTCTGGGTTAGAGACATGATATCAGAGCCCGACCGACTTTGTGTCTGGGTTAGAGACATGATATCAGAGCCCACTTTGTGCCTGAGTTAGAGAAATGATATCAGACTCACAAGTGAGGGGGCGTGTTAGAATATCACTTGTGAGTTGTCCCACATTGTTAATACATGAAAAATAGGCTCACCTTATAAGTCTAGTGGGCCTCTCCTCCTTTCATCAATTGGTTTTTGGGATGGAACCCCACTTGGGCTTCATATGGGCTTTCCATTTCCCCTAGTTTCTTACATTATTATTATTTCCAAGAATTGTTGCATTTGAATACAGGGCGTTGTGGGCTCAGGTTTGTGCTACGCAGCCATGTCGTGGAGCGTGAAACAAAGAGGGCCCGTTTTCACTTCTGCATTTTTACCGCTCATGCAAATCTTCACAGCCATTTTGGATGCTTTACTGTTGAAGGAAGAAATTTATCTAGGAAGGTGAGATAATCTTTTCTAATTAATAGTAAGTTCAAATCCTTCGAGCTCGTGATCGTAAATAAACGAGCTGATTCGACCCGATCATTTAACAATTTAGTAAACCGTCAAGTGGCTCAACTGGAGCTCGGCTCATCTATCTTTGTGAAAATTTGGCTCGTTTGAACTTGGTTAATAAACCTAATATCCGAGTTTTTTTGTGAAAAAAAAAAGTTGTGTTCGTTAGTTTGCGACAAATTTGCCTAATTGTTTCATTTTACCCATAATAATAATAATAACGAGTTATTTGCATACAAACTCGGCCAGACTCGCTAAATAAACGAGCTTGATTACCTGTTCAACATCAACTCATTTAAGTAAACAAACGAGCCGAACTCGAGTTTTCATGAGCCAAATCAAGTTGTATTCGCGAACAGTTCGGTTCGAATAACATTCCTACTGCTAAAGAAACGTTTTTTTAACAGTATTTTAGGTTCTATTGTGGTCATTGTGGGTGTGTATGCTCTATTGTGGGGCAAAAGCAAAGACGAAGAAGTTTTTAACACAATTCCTAAAAGGATCAGTGGTGAACAAAGTATGCAAGATTCAGCACCTGAAATTACCAGTCAGTAAAAAAATTTGTACTGAGCATGGCTGGTTTTACCAGTCGGTGAAAATTTTGTCCAGAGCTTGGCTGTTTTGTTGACTTTTCACTTGTCCAAAGTGGACTAATCATAAAATTGTGATTAGGAAAAAGAAAAAGAAAAAAAAAAAAGAAAGAAAGAAAAGGGATTCTGGGCACAAGAAATGGTACGTACCAAGGTGACCCAATATTGTTAAAACATAATTAATTGTATTTAATAATAAATTACATTATTAATTGTTTTTATTTTTGCTGTTAGTCCTCATGCAATTTTGCATATAATTGGTTTTTTTTTTTTTTTTTTT